GGGGCTGTGCGCGGTCGCGGGGCTCGCCTCCGCCAGCCTGCCGGTGTGGGAACGCAGCCGCGCTCGGGGACTCCTCTTCCGGGGGGGGCGCAGAGAGCCTAGGCGAGCGGTACGACGTATGCTGTAGACTAATAAAATACGAGATTAGGGCAGATAATGGAAAAAGCCTTTAAGTATTGTCTTTTTCCCCTAATTATATCTAGAAAGTCAGCCCAGCAAGGCCCAGATTAAGACCCTGGCGGAAGGGAGCAGCCACCTCGAGTTTAAAGAAACAAGCCAGTTTTAGTCTCTCCTGCTATACGCATCCCCCTCCTTTCACTTGCACCAGTTGGGCATTAGTGGTGGCAGTGGTACTAGCTCACTATTTATCCCTAGGAAAATGCAATGAAGAGATAAACCTCAAATTCCAGGGGAAATAATTATCCTTTCAGGCTTTAAAATAATCAATTGCTAGATTCTCCCCCTTCCCCTTCCACTGTAGGTGAGCCCTAGAACACCTGAGCACTATGGTAAGTCTTCTGCCATGGAATAACATAGATCTATAACATTTTTGGAAACCGCGCTAAGGCAGAGAGAGGGTTGTATTGTTCTTCACACGAGAACAGAAAAAAATATATAGATATATATACTTTTGACCATTCAGCTGAGCACACCTTGCATTGCTGCAGACAGTTTAAATCCTCCGAAATAGCAGAGATCAATGATTACTACAATATGTGCCCTTGGATCCAAGCAGCCATGCTTGGACTAAAGAGTTATGCTTCTGGTGGAGAAAATGGCACTCATCATTCTGATGGTGATCATAACACAAGAGATGAGATTTGAATGCAAAGAGACCTCATTTGCAGCATATGTTTGATCCAGAGTCCATCTAACCCTGGAGCCCGTCTTGGACCAGGGCCTGCAGCAGCTCTTCCTAAGGAGGTCCTACCGCCTGCTTGCACAAAAGGAACCAGCTATTCCTACTTGAAACACTCCGGGAAACCTCTGAAAAGCTACCAACAGAGCTTGAACAACTCCTGACCACAGGGCATGGCGACGCGCAGACAACAACTAGAGTCTCCCTCCGACCAACTGTAAGCCATCACTTGTCCTGAGAAGCGACAAGAACAAGAGAACCCCCCAAAAGCCAAGAGAAAGCCAAATAAGAAACACCTACTATCTCGTTCTTTCAGGCCAGCCATTTAAGACAAATTAAGAAGAATTACTCGTTTGTTATCTTTATTTTCCAATAGTACATTTAAACAGCTTCTCAGGTCTAACCTCCTCAGCCAGTATGGCCATGCAGAAAACAATTCCTACGTTATACAGAAAACCCATGACAACACACAAAACGGGTCGCAGTTGTACTGTAGAATAGAGAAAGGGAATTTGTGTAGAACGAGGCAACTTTAATTACGCAAAAGCATTTGGCGCAACGGAAATACTGCAGATGTATTAGCAAAGTTCACTAGTTAGTGCTCCTCAGTGGCACCAAAATAGGAGAGGTGGTTGTATACAAGCAACTTCTAGCCATTTCTTTAAAAAACAAAACAAAAAACCCCCAAAATCCCACATCAGTAGCTGCTACGTATAACTGAACTGGAGATCCCTCCTGTGGCTAAAAAGTGTAGTTGCAAGTCTCATGTTACCTTAATTAATGCAGATATAAAATGCAGTTAATGAAGATGCATGAAAATATGGGTTAGATATCAAAGCACGCACTCAGTATTTTGTGATCACACCTTGCGGTCATGCACGACTGGAAGAACTAGCACTTCTCACATCCTAAGTTTGGATAAACACAGCACGTAGTGGCCTTATATTTGTTGTAGGGAAGGGCTTTGGTAGAATAGAAGTTACAACCAGAAAGCTCAAGTGTTCTCAAAGCTTCTCAGCTGGCCACAGCCCCACGCTATTAGTTCCAAGACTTGAAGGAGCTACTCCATTAAAAATCTGGAAGACTTGCTTTCAATAGCATCTCAAGACATGCAGATGCCAGACTGAACGTATTTATCAGACCCCCCTGCTTAGAAGCCCTTCTGCAAAGCACTTTTGGTGAACGCTTTCCATCGACTCAGCTCTAGTGGTGGGACCTGACTTTGAATTTTCAACAGCAGTCAGGGAATTTAGCAGCACAATTATCCACATCAGAAAACAAACTTTAGCAGGTCTCAAACTTTCAGATTATATATAAATGCTGCTATTCTTAATCTGTTTTTTTAAGGGCAATGCTTTGAAACTATCACATAGCAATTTCTACATCCTTTTGACATGTAGTATGATTTACTTTACCTACTTTTGGCAAGAGGAAAAAAAAAGAAAAAAAAAAAGCTGCCCTTTGCCAGCTGCATGTATTAGTTTGCTTGTAACTCCACACATACAAAAGCCACTGCAACAGCTCTCAGCAGGTACATCCGTGTTCACTAATAGGAACTAGCGCTACAAAACGTTAGCCATGCGAAGTGGACATTTCTCATTCTTCTCAAACTTCACGAAAACATTCTTCATACATTCTCCCCCGGCAAGTGGTCCCTTGGTGACAAAAGGCGAGCCTTCCACATATTTGTATACGTGGCAGTTTGGGGTTAGTCACTGTCAGTGCTTTCTGTGACTACTGCATATGATCGTAAATACTTCTACCACCCAACTTTGCGCTTGAGCCCACAACATTATGAATCACATATTTAACACTTCCACAGTACCAGAGCAGAAAATTGTATAAGCATGTTCAGCATTGAAATCACTGCAGGATTAACTAGGAAAAGACTTTAAAAATCATAAATATCTTTAATTACAAGACTGGTAAGGCAAGTTGTGAAAAAAAAACAAAAACAAGATTTTCCTTTAAGATTAGGTGTAAAAGTTGCCTTCAAATATGGAAGTTGCTATGATAGGAAGCACAAGTACTCAATGGTGAGCTACTAACGCTATGGACCTATGCTGTGTTCGCTACTAAACTGCTATTTTATACTTTTAAAAACTTCATTCACCACCTAAAGAACAGCCTGTGGACACTTCTCTGCTACTAGAGAGCACTCAGTCACAGAGGCTCTGCTAGAATTAAGATGCCCGTTTCAAATGAAAACCCCAACAGTTCTGTATCAGCACTGGAAGCACAAATGATATATTTTCCAACCACTGGTGACCTCAATACATACAAGTTCCACACGGCAAGAGCCAGAAATCCTTAGTTCCCACCTAGGCACCTGAAAAAAACTGGCAGGTCATCAGCAGTAGCAAGCAGCTCCTATTCAGGTGTTTAAGTAGGAAGCACTGGATGCTGAGCTGCTCACATTCTGACTTGATGACAGGTTTATTTATGTCTGATAGTAGGAGATTTGCACTGACATTAAGTGTTTCAAAGGTGCTCGAACAGTAATAATCTTCAAGTACATTAAGAGCTACAGAAAAATTGAGAGCCCATCGATTCAAAGAGCGAAGCACTTAAAGAACCCAATGACAACGCTGTGATGTTTGAAATAGCGGTTTAAAAACCAGATGTTATTCCAGCATGTTATTTCCAAATAAATCCCTGCTTTTAGGAGAGCTGTATACGATTCTATCATAAGGAATTGCTTTCTTTAGAAACAAAGAAAAGATCTACAGCATGGCCTTCACTTAGACTGATTTCCAACGCAGAAAAGTACTAGAGGGTTGAACAAACTCATTTATGTCCTATCATATAGAAGCAAGAATTTAAGTTTCTTTCAGCTTGAACAACTTCACAGCAAGCATCCTCCAGAACACCAGGGTCTTCCAAATACCCTTTTGGTTAGGCCCAGGACGTTTGATCTAATAGCAAACATTATTAGGAAATATTTTGTCCCAGAAACTTAGAAATAAATAGCTGTCATATACGGATGCCCTACAGTGATTTCTGCTTTTCAGCAAGACCACCTTACAAGGAGTCATTAATACACTCACCCTTTTGGGAAGAGGAACATGGTTCTTATTTCACCCTTTACTAGACAGCAGCCAACTACACCGGGCGTATGCAGATTATGAACTCAAGGGAGTTTTACTCAAACTCCCCACACCATACATATGATGAATCTGCACTTGGAGCCAACCTCAAATACAAAATAATAAACCAGTAATTCTCTTGCAAGTGAAACAACACTAGCTTGTATTCTTCCCTGAATAAACACTTTTTTGCAAAGAGGAAAAGGACTGCTACAGAAACACAGCAACATTCAAACCCTTTAAAACAAAAGGTAGATTATTTAATGCATTAACGATGTTAATCTGAAGATAAATAAATCCACAACAGACTTAAGTTTCTTTTGAGATTTCCTTTTTCTTTGCAGAGCATATTTCTGAAATTATACAGTACTGAGAGGGTGTTCTTTTATTTTCTTAATGTCCAGGTGTAAAGCAAAGCTCAGTTCTCTCTGCTCTCTTCATGGAACTCCTCAATGCCCTATTCCAGGCGTGATTCTCTTAAGCTTTTACTTGAAAGCGGAGTGGTGAGCAACATTAATTTCAGGAATAACTGGATGGTTTGGTCCCTGAGTCATCTTCTTGAGAGCCCATACTCTGGAAGGGAAAGAGTTATTTCTTCAAAAACCCATCTGAAGATTTACCTTTGAGATAGACAACTCCAAAGTTAAAAGGTAGGAAAATAAAGTGCATATGAAGTAATTTGCACTTCCTTTGGTGTTTTTAAAAGCATTATCTTTATCCACATTACGTATACACGGAACGATCAACGCTGTAAATACTGACATTCAGTGTAACACATACTCACTGCACTGAATGTCTTTCCTACTTTTACAGGATACTAAGTCAATTACCTTCTGCACAAACTGAGGGTTCACAGTGATCTCTTGATCCATGGCTTTCAGTCGTTCATCAAGCTCTATACATTTCAGCATCTTAGGAAAAAATGAAAATATTTAAGTTGATTATTTTGTCCAGCTTGCACAAAATCTTCAAGATATTCATGACTGCAACAACTTCAGCAATCGGAAAAGTTCCGAGTCAAAATGTTCTCCTCCTCCATCTCCCAAACAAAAGCATTAGGTCATTTTTTTTTTATTTTTTGATGCACGTTTTCCTAACAATCCTTTTTACGGCCACTGATAGACAGCCCCACAAGGGTCAAGCGCCTCAATTTACAGGTAGCTTACCTCCAACCACTAGAATTAAACCTTGAAGTCTAAAGCTCTAAAAGCAGTCCTCCTAAGCCAGTCAATTCAAGGAACTTCAAGTCACCAACACTATGCAGTCTACTGAAGCAGCTCAGGTTGGACCGAAGATGCAACGCGAAACTCATTGCTAGTAACTAACTACAAATCTAAAACATTTAAATATGAGTACTGTGAAATAGTAATGATTCATAGTCCTGATTCTCCACATTTATAAGTGACCTAGCCTGACTTCTTCCAGCAGATTCCCGATTATAGACCAGGGTTCTTCA